CAGACAGAGTGAAGGAATGACAAGACAGAGCCATAGATAAAAACAAAAAAAAATGATACAAAAGAGACAGAGGCAAAGAGAGTAATATATATAAAATAAACAGAACTCAACGAAGTCTTTCTCTTTAAGTCCAACAAAAGCTACTGACACGATGGTCAGACACATGGTATCAGTCATCCCCTAAAATCCTACGAGCTCTTAACACGGCCTCCACCCAAAAAATAGAAATTATGCAATTTTTCTATTCACTCGGCAGATTAGAAGACGCGGAATGGGATTTTAAGTGCACCATTAGTCATGTTTTAAATACCTCTCTGACGCAAATTGGTTCACGAGAGAATAGGATTATAAGCTTAAAAGAAAGCTGTTCCTGCTTGAGATAAATGACACACAAGAAAAGGGAAGAAGAGGCGTTTTGCCAGGCTGTTGATGGCTCATTATTGCATATTTTAGAGACGAAGTGTGAAAATTTGTCTCTCCAACTGATGACCCAAGATCCAAGACTCCTTTTACTGAATTTGATAAAGGAGGAAATTACTTTATTGCATGACAATAATTAGATATATGAGAGATTATAAGGTTATTCCTAGTCCTTAGATGTTTATATAATTGTTGTCTTCCAATAGTGTAATGTCTTGGTAATTTCTTAAGAGAAAAAGCATTGTATAACGGACTCGCTGTTTGTTGGCCGTTGTTCGATTTTCGATGACCAAGTGAACGGAAATCGTCACTCAGTCCTCATGTTATGGACAAATTTCGCATATTATCTTTCCACATATACCAACTCCTATATTGTCCTCAGGTACATGTTCCTATTGACTCCTCGTACTTTACTATTCTCCTAGCCTCAAAGTCCACATCTATCCTGGCCTCAAAGTCCACATCTATCCTGGCCTCATAGTCCACGTCAGTCCTGACCTCATATTAGACGTTTATCCTGGCCTCATATTCCATATCTATTCTGACCTCATAGTCAGCGTCTATCCTGGTCTCATATTAAAGGTCTATCCTTGCCTCATATTCTACGTCTATCCTGGCCTCATATTTGACGTCTATCCTGGCCTCATATTCCATATCTATTCTGGCCTCATAGTCAGCGTCTATCCTGGTCTCATATTAAAGGTCTATCCTTGCCTCATATTCTACGTCTATCCTGGCCTCATATTTGACGTCTATCCTGGCCTCATATACTACGTCTATCCTGGCCTCATATTCGACGTCTATCCTGGTCTCATATACCACGTCTATCCTGGCCTCATATTCTACGTCTATCCTGGCCTCATATTCTACGTCAATCCTGGCCTTATATTCGACGTCTATCCTGGCCTCATATTCTACGTCTATCCTGGCCTCATATTCGACGTCTATCCTGGCCTCATATTCTACGTCAATCCTGGCCTCATATTCGACGTCTATCCTGGCCTCATATTCTACGTCTATCCTGGCCTCATATTCTACGTCTATCCTGGCCTCATATTCGACGTCTATCCTGGCCTCATAATACACATGTATTCCAACCTCACATCACTACCATTACAGTAATTCTGGCAAAGTTACAGTACAGTAAAAATCCAAAGTTACAGTACAGTAGCCCTGGCTAAGTTACAGTACAGTAACCCTGGCTAAGTTACAGTACAGTAGCCCTGGCTAAGTTACAGTACAGTAACCCTGGCTAAGTTACAGTACAGTAGCCCTGGCTAAGTTACAGTACAGTAACCCTGGCTAAGTTACAGTACAGTAGCCTGGCTAAGTTACAGTACAGTAACCTG